CCCCCCCGCCCCCCCCCCCCCCCCCCCCCCCCGCCCACCCCCGGCCCCCCCACAACACATCAGATTTTAAAAAATCGTTTAATGACTATCGTAGAATTACAACTAGCTACCTACTATCCACCACTTCCTTCATGTAGAACAATCGTCAGTCGACGAAAACCAAGACAAGCTTTAGATCCAAAGACAAAAAGACCTGCTCTTCTCCATATCATGCATGACATCGTACAAAAATCGTCCCAACAGGAATCTTGATATACAGAAAACTTTTGTTGCCCCCAAGTGCAAAGACGCCTCCTTTGGATATTCCCCGGAAAATTGAAAAAGACCCAAATTATGAAACAACCCAAATGACAACAACACCAGCTCAACACCGGTTTCCCCTCCTAATTCCTGCTATATCTGCTGTACAAAAATGCGGCAAGTGCACCAACTCCGACACCGGCGGCAACCAAAGCTGGGAAGGACAACAACGAAGATTCTTCGACTGCAAGAAAAAAAATTGTTAGCTAAAAATACAAGAAAGTTGGTGTGGAGAGGAGAGGGGGGGTGCAAAGAAGAGAGAAATGCAAAGAGGACGAAAGATGGTAAAATATTTCGAGAAGGTCACATACCAGGAGACTCGAAAGGCTGAGAAAGTCGGCGCTTGATGTCTCGTCGCAGGTCAGCAAGGAAGTCTCCAGGCTTCTCCATCTTCTGCGCCATCAGAGCGATCAGAGCGGCGCCAACACCGCTGCCGTCCTTGGCGATGCCGATGCGGATCTTGTCCGCGCCGCTGGGGCCGATGCCGTCAATGGCGCGCAAGGCCTCGTAAATCATATCCCGGAAGAAGGGGTAGTGCTCTACCAAGCTGCCGTCCACGCCAATGTCGACAATCTCCTCGGCGGGATCGTTCAGCTTTCCCGACTGGAGAACAATGGCGCCAATGGCGACGGCCGAGAGCCTGGCCGCTCTGCGGACAACAGCGCCGGCGACAGCCTTGAATGCCTGCGCATCCTCCAGTGAGGGAGTGTACACCTGAAGCGTATTCTCCAGTTCCTGTCGGATGGCCACCAGCTCGGGAGTGTTGTCAGCAGCAGCCACGGACAGGACGGCAGTGTCCAGCCCCCACTGGAACAGGAGCCCAGACTTGGGGCTGAGGTTTGTCGTCGTCGACCAGTCATTGGTGCTGGAGTTTGTGTCGCGGAAGAGGGACGTCTCGTCATCCTTCATCATGTCGGCAACCGCTAGTCGCACAATCTCACCCAGGAACATGCCGGATACGCGCTTTTCGTACATCTGGATGCCGGGGTTCACACTGTCTCGATCTAGCGCGGTATCCCAAACGGTGGAAGGGAGAACATTGAGCTGGTTGTCGAATGAACCCCACTCAGTGTTGATGACCATTTCACCAGTCGAGGCGTCGTACTCGCCCTTGATGGGCTTGGTAATGTTGGAGGTCTTCTCGATGTAGGCGCCGTTGGTTCCAGTGCCAAAGATGGCACCGAGAAGAGAGCGGTGCTTTCCTGTTGATGTGTACGAACGCGCCATGAGGGTTCCTACGGTATCATTGACCAAAGCAGCCACCTTGACGGGCAGATGAAGTCGGTCAATCTCATCTTGGAGAAGCTTGCAGACATCCTTGCCAATTGCGTCCGGAATGTCAAAGCCCTTGGTCCACCGGATGAGATTGCCCTTGTTGATGCCGAGCTGCTGTACGGGGAAGCTGAATGTGAAGCCGAGCCGGAAGATCTGCTCATCGTGGTAGCCCTCAGGGAAGCTAGTCGTGTTGCGACGGGAGGTGGCGCTCTCAAAGTGCTCTCGGTGGTGCTCTCGGAGGAAGAGCTCAATTTGCTTAGCCAAGAAAGCGAAAAGATCTCTCGCCGTCTTGGCCACCATGAGATTCTTTGGAATGGCGACCTTGTTGTAGGTCAGGTTGAAGGTGCTGTCGCCGTTTAACGTAACGGAGCAAACGCGAAAGTTGGTGCCGCCCAAGTCAACGGCTAGGTAAATGCCCTGCAAAAAAAAAAAAAAAAAATCAATTGGTCAGTTGTGCCGTCCGTCAGCGGACTTCTAAAGTTACAGGGACAACTCACTCGCTCTGTGCCGTCTGGTACAGCAGTTACGTAGGAGGGAATCTGACTGAGACTGGTTCCATCTACTTTTAATCCCTCGTCTGCAATGACGTTAGTGGTGAGCTCACGCACGAGCGGCGACCATTGCGCCCGAGGGAATTGGCGCCATGCTTACTGGTCTGCTTCAAGTATTCTTGGACATGGCGGTTGAGATCCTCGTCCGAGAAGTCGAACTCGGACACGACCCGGCTGGTGTGCTCTGCTAGGCCCATTGTGAGGACTCGCGACGTTGGGGGTGAGAAAGCGAAAGGCGGTAGCGGACAGATGAGCTCGTCGTGGACAGCAAGTTGTGAGGTCAAGGAAGAGAGAGGCCACAGAACTTGGGGATGGAGATGAAGGAGGGAGAGAAGTTGACAGGCCCACGGTAGCTGAAAGATGGCGGTTTGTACCGTGGCGTCATGGAGCGCGAGCTGGGCCAGCTAGTAGTTATAAACATTAGCCAACCGGCCACAATCGTCAGTGCCTTATACTTTTTCGCGTGATGCGCATTTACGCAGCGAGCATGGATAGCACAGGGATTAGCCCCAACTCTGGGGACGGCGCGGGGCGTTTGGCCGAGAGCTTCCATGCTTAGCGTAGCCTACCATTGAGAGTCTCCCGCATGAGTAGACTTCGGCCGGCGAATCAAGGCGTCGTCAGGACAGTCTCCCCACTCATCACACGCCGGCGGGCTCGTGGGAAGCTCACGGCCACCGGAATATCCGTCCTGCTGGACAGAGCTCTGGAATGTTCCTGTTCCCCAACGAGGCGGCATCCACTGAGGAGGAGGCTGTTACGTAGAGACGGGGCAAGAGATGGAGTAACGCGGGCAATGGGGGTTTTCCAGAACAGGCACAGGCAGCCTGAGACGCCGGGAAACGAAACAAGAGGAACCATGACGAAGGGGATGCTCGGGCTCACCATGGACAGTACAGACAGTACGAGTATGGGCAGCAGCCACACTCGACGGGCGACGGACGGTGTCGACTTGGGCCGCTCGCCTTTTCCTGGCACCACCCTGTCTCCGTGGCCGTCGCGCCACACGGCGCCGAGGCCTCGAACCTTGTCCTCGTGGCACGCCGTTTCGACGTTGGTATCGTGTGCTAAACCAGCAATTAAGCATTTCGGACCCCAATCCCGCCAAGCCTCTCCAATTCCTGCCATCACTCACAGTACATGCTCCCACTTACACCCTCACAATCTCACAATCCTCTGGGCACGAGGAACTCGGGCAGTTGGGCGTGGAGAGACAATGGCCATGGAGCCACCCGCATACGCAGCTGCGGAGCGAATGTGGCCCAAGCTGGAGACTCTGAAGAAAAGGGCCGTATACCGCGTATGTGCTCCGTCCTGCGTACGAGAAGTCTCGTGGTAGAGAGAAAAGCGCGCGATTTTTGGCTTTAGTTAGGCTGGGCGACTCAGCGTCTCTCCAGTGGCGTTCATCAAGTGGTACTGCGGACTTGGCCCCTGTATCATCTAATTTCCCCCCAAATGGCCCGAGGATGCAGGATGCAGGCACAGAGTGCCACTCCAACGCCAGACAGCCACCGTCTCCTGGATCCTGCCGGCGATGACGGGCGATCGCGACGCTGCAATGACACGGCCAGATGCAAAGTTTCGCCGAATAGCCTTGCTGTTGACCCGGGAACCCTAAGCCGCAGAAAACTCTCGATCCGTAATGCTAGCGTCAGTTGCGCATAATCGAATATGGCGCAAACCAAAAACAAGCCGTGTTGACAAAAATATTGAGCCTGTCCGACTTCGCAGAGGAGGCTTGGTTGAAGGTTCGATACTAAGTAGGGGGTAAGAAAAGAAGTCAATTTGTGCCGCGTCGATAACAATGCCTTCGAGATAAGACACCCAGAGAGTCAAAAATTCCGGCAGAAGTCAATTGTGCTTCGCTTCGCTTAGATAAGGGGTCTCGTCGATTCAATCTCACAACACACACAAAAAAGGCCTACTCGACTCACAGAATCACAAACGAGAGGAGGAATCTTCAGCGGCACGAACTAAGAGCTGTCCTGCTTGGGGGCCTTATATCATCCGCAAATGCAGAGAAAGATGGGGAACTCTCCTCCCTCGAAATAACTATTGGCGCGGGGAAGCTGGTCTGTAAAGCGACTGGTCTCTAGGTCTTTAAAAAGGCGGTATTCCATAGTAGCATCCCCTCGCTCACCCACTTTAGCCCAACCCGGAGACCATTTTTTTTCCCCTTATACGAGTACATGCCGTGTGGATAACTGGCCCATAGATTCCGACTTTTTCGAATAGAGAGGCTGGACGGCATCGAGCAGCCGCCATTACACGTCGTCGTACAGAGGCAATCGGACAGGCAGTAAGAAAATGGACCAGTGCTAGACCAGATCGCAGCAATGTGGACAAGTGGACCGACCACCTTGCATAGCGGAAGCAAGAGAGGCCAGATGTCAAAACGCCCTACCCTGGTTGAAAAAAAAACCAGCATGGAATCAACATCCGCCTCAGGCCTGTCTCGAGATGATGAGAAATGCGGCCAACAAAAGGCCCGCGCAGAATAAGAAGACAGAATTCCTATGTTCGTCACCTAGTATCCAAAGAGTTAGAGATGGAGACTAAACAGGCCAAGCTGGAATATTCTTACCATCACGATCGAGGCTGTGTACGACAACCACGAAGACATTTAGAGGCAGCCTAAGAGCGCTATAGACCCCACCTCGCTCATAGTCGTCAACTATGTTGCTCTTGATGAGGGCCATGTTCGGAAAATATGCGCCCACACAGCCTTCAACAATACAGAACGCCCAGAAGAGCATATATTCGTGGTCTAGCATTGTTGAAATAGCGAATGCTCCGGATTTTATGGCGAATACGATCATGAGCTTGTTCAATGTGCCATCTTTTGAAGGCAACGGGTTCTGCATCGTGGTGATTCTAGATCCGACCATCATGGCGCACATGAAACTCGAGAAGATGAGACCAAAGGGGAGCTCGTCCTCATTTCCCGATTTTACTCTTGCGCTCTTTAAGGCAGCTGACCAGAAAAACACGAAAAGGTACATTGAACCTTCGAAACAACAAGAAGCAAAGTTCAGAGCCATAACCTTGGGGTTAATTAGAGCTCTAATAAGCATGTGATGCTTGAACCTTTGAGCTCCTGATGTTTTCTTCGACTTATCGACACTGCCATAGTTTTCTCGCCACATGACCAAAATGAGCACGCCGGCCCCGATACAGCAGACAAGGCTGGCAAGAAAGGGTACCAGGTGAGAATTGAACCATTGGACAAGGCCATTCCCTATCATGCCAGAGAATATCGCCGTGGTCGTGCTGGTGGTGACCATGTTTGCAAAAACTTGACTGAGAGAAACCATGCTCTCGTCAAGCTGCAATAGATGGTATTCGGTAATCATCCAGGCCTCGAAGACGCTAAATAACAATGTAGTTGCAATGCCTCCAAAGAAGCGGCCGAGGTATAGGGCGTAGAGACTGTGGCTAAGCATCGTTAGGCATGTAATCCCGTAGCAGATGCAATATGCAACGCAGGCAGCCCGCCTTCCATAGTGATCTGCGAGTTGTCCTGCAAAGGGGGCGCTTGCAGCACCAGATACAAAGCCCGAGGCGTATAAAAGCGCGACAGTGTGTTCATCGAGCTGCTTTTCGTATTTGTAAACCGCATAGGTGTAAGGACCCTATAACGTAGCTCGTGTCAGGATCAGGATAGCTCGAAGAGAAGGGGGTTTCACACACTTGAAGCCAATCAGCTGCGGCCACCAAGGCGTAGACGAAGAGGAACTCCCGTTGAAACTTGGTAGCGACTGCTTCACTTTGTTCATCCCGTGGGACACCACGATCCCGCTGCTTGTGGATCTGAGAGCGACGATGATAGATGAAAGAAGACACATTTGCGACGACCAAGATGGCCAGGTTCACTCGATAAAAGTCCATTGTGGTTGAATGTAGATAGCCTCACACTTCACGTTCTATTTGACTTGGCTTCAGAAGGCGAATCAATCTTTGATGACAATGAAAAGACAGAAAACCAGGGAACATCGGTCATAGTAGTAACAAGTACCTCTACCTGTAGGTGGCCATTGTGCCTGTCCGGACGATGTGCAGGTGAGGCTGTTCATGCATCGTGTCGCTCTTTCCAGGTCTATCGTTGACCCTTACTGTCTGTTGAAGCATCTCCTCGAGGTAGGAGCCTCAGGTTGGCGGAGACAGGGAACATGAGGAAGGCACCGGCGTACTGACTGACTTCTATACTTTAGGTACCTGTATCTCTCTGCGATAGAACTCATCTTCAATCTACTGTGGTTGCTTGCTACATACCCGGGAGTAGCTGATGATGAGTTCAGCCAACGCTTTCAAACAGCAACAACTCCGCAAAAATTGCTTGCTGGATAGATACCTAGTAGTCTTGTAAATGTAACAGATTCAATAGTGAATATACTATCCCCAAGCCAAGATATTGAGTTCATCACTTCAACAACTGGATTGCCCACCTAAATTAACGGTTAACGGGATGGGTCTGTTCCAGCAACGATAGAATATATGAGCAAGGGGACAACAGAAGGTTCTCTATTAGAACTCAAGCATGTAGAATTGTTCGTTTGAAGTAGCAAAATGACAATAAACAAGTAAAAGAAGAAAAAAGAAAAAAGAAAAAAAAAGTCATGAGAATCCATTCCACCAGTTGGTAAAAAATACACAAAGACTCTACGTAAAATGAGCAAAAATATGCGACCTGTGTGGATCGAACACACGACCTTCAGATAAACTGGTGATTGAAGTATAAGCTTCAGTCTGACGCTCTCCCAGCTGAGCTAAGGTCGCAAGCTAATTATTGGAGAAAATGCGAGAGTTAGATGGTATTAGTACCATTGGTGGTGGTGGAATCAATTGTGTGGGGACGAAGGGCTTTGCTAAATTTGTTTCTTTGCAATTGACGCGGACAGAAACAATAGCGGCGGCGGTGGGGCCTCGATGCGGCTCTGTGCCGGTCCCTGGGAGATGGATAAGCTTACACGTGATTGTCGATTGTTTTGGGGCATATTATGATTGAGCAAGCAAGGGACACAGAGGGCAAGATTACTAAATGCAAGACTCCCTATTTCAGGCCCGTCTACAAATACCGCCCATTACTGTACCAGACCAGATGGGCTTCAAAGTCGTTCTCATCAGCGGCAGCGGACATGTTGATTGATACACGATTACTAACGCAATGGCTCGCTGCACATGGACGGTTTCTATCAGCCCAGGCGCCCCACCGTTCTCTCCCAAGGGCTGCCCGAACCAACCCCGCCTTGCCCAAGGCAAAGTCCTACCCGCCAAGAGCCAAAAGTCCTGGGCTAACATTCTCTCCGATGCCTACAGACGAGAGAGGAGAGGAGAGTGTGGCACGTTGCATTACTCTGTACTTTGGTTGCAGGTACTGGTGAGTACAAGTAGCTGAGGTTAGCAGCCCCGAGGCCTCCATCGACGGTGCATGGTTGGTTTGCGGCATGTGCATGTATCTTTTCTCTCGGGCCATTTGGAAACAAAGAAGGGCGGGAATATGGATTTTTTTTTTGCTTGACGCTTGGGTCGATTTGCGAGTGGCTTCGCCCCGCCACGATCAACGCCTCCACAAATGGCAATGCCTCGAGAAGTACGAGAAAGTTGGTTGGCAAAGCCCACTTTGTCCACACACTTGCTGTACTCGAACGTGTCGTGCAATGAGGTTACTTTCTAAGTCAGACACGGCGACTTTTACGTACAGATACTGTAATGTGCAGTATTGGATTTGTCACGCCGCGCGCAAAACAGAGCAGAGCAGTGAAGAAGGCATCCCGTCCAGCGCCTTTACTCGCAATTCTATTCTAGATCTGGCCTATCTTTGACTGCATCGCTAGCAGATGGCAAGCTCGCCATTAGCCCCGCCTCTGAACCGTGCCATTGGCACAAAGAGCTGCCCGATCCAATATTCGTGTTACTGCTGCTGCTGATCGCTGTCCGAGTTTCTCAGCCGCACGGCCAGCAGATGTAGCCAAGCCTACAGGTACGAGGTAGGCCTATGAGAGGCCCTGGATGGTGGCACCCTGGCTCTTACGCGGGTGCGCTCCCTTGGCTGAACATCCATAGCTCCAGCATAGCGGCATGTAGGGATGGGAATGGCTTTTCTTGCATCCGTAGAGGAGCGATAAAGATGGCAAAGGCAGCAGAGCAAAAGAGGAGAGGGAGGAAGACGAGAATAGGGCACGGGGAGGCGCGGGATGGAATCAAGTCAAAGTCATGGTAGCATTTCGTGGGCCCCGGAATGAGCAAAGCTAGCGCGTGCAGTTGCACAAACGTCCACGCAATACGGAGTGCATATACTATGGGGAGAGGGAGAGGCGCCTTGACGTCAAGAACGCGGGCGATTTCGTCTTGATACGAAGGGCTTGTGACTTGTGATTCCAGCCTGCGCTTTGACACGAGACAGAGGTGCAAAGGGTGTAGAATATGAATGGATACCTTGCATGTTGGAATTGTAGAGTGGTATTATCTGGTACGGAGTATGGAGCACGTTGGAGTCGTCAAAGATGGCTTTGATGCCATGTGCTGTCATCGAACGTCAGTGTCAGTGTCAGACTGTGTGGTTCCTACTAGGATGCTGCGCAAGGCACATCGCCAGCGCCGAGGCTTTCTCGAGCTGCGGCTCAGCCCTGCGCAGCAAACGGCAATAATCATACCTAATCATTTAATCCGATGCTCGCTTTGGTGCGGTGCTGCACAGCCAAACTGCACCCTTGGCCGTGCTGCTAAATTCTGACTGCCAGCCCAGGTCGGCTTGGCCCTATCCCAAGCCCTGGGGGGCGTGGGGGAGAGACAATTGGATTGGAACTGAGAAACGAGTACGGAGTACGGAGTACGAGCACCTAAAGTAAACCTACTATACCTCCTACCAGGTACCTATAGTACAAGTACGGTAAGCAACGTACATGTAGTACTCGTACGAGCGCAAGTCCTGCCTTCTGTCCTGCCTTGTCCTGTCCTGTGCTCTGCAGTCTTTCCTGGCTGCTGTTGGCTTTGTCACCTTAACTTGGTACCTTGGGTACTGTACTGCGCATGTGCATGCCTGGCCTGGCAGGGACCGATCAAATTCGATCAAATCAAAACAAACCGAGCCAGACCAGACCAGACCAATTGTGCGTCCTGCATTCTCACTCCTCCTCCGCTCCAGCCAGTCCGTTTCCCACACCACAAGGCCTGAATTGACCGCTGAAAGATTCCTCTCTTAGGACTCTCTGCGCGCGCCAGACACTAAAAGGCGCCAGACCAAAGCACCAGACCCGACCTGACAGACCAGACACTTCGCGGACCTGATCTTACCAGACCCGACCTAAGCCCAATCCTCTCGCCCCGGCAAAGCACCCTGCCTGCGCCTTCGTTCCCCCATCAGCCCTTCTTCTCCCCTCCACTCCTCTTCTTATTTCCCCTTCCCGAGTTGCCCTTCTTTTCCCTCTCCATATGAGTTCTCTGAACTCCCGCTTCAAGAGCCTTGGTCTCGGCAAACGCAAATCCACCGCCAGCATTCACAGCGTCCAGGGCGCCCCCCCCACCAGCACCGGTACCCCTCCTCCAGGCCAAATACCTCAACAGCTTCAACCTCAGTTCCCGCCGCACACGCTTCCGCAGCCGCATCCCCAGACGCCGCCGCCTCCAGGCTCGTCCGCCAGCCCAATGAATCACCAAGGCCCGGGCGCCCGTCCGCCCAGCTACACGGCTGGCAGCTATCCCCAACCGCCTCAGGGCGCCATGGGTCGCACCAGCCCCATGGCTCCAGGCCAGAATCGCACCCCGCCATCGCAGATGACTGGAGGCCCTCCGCCCATCAACACAGGCGCCCCCGTCGGCTACCCGCCCAACATGAATCCCCTGGGCCAGATGCCTCCGGGAATGCCTCAGGGCGGCCCTCCTCCAGGCGCTCCAGGCTTTGGCCAGCCCACCGGATACCCTCCTGGACCACCACCCGCGGGAGGTCCCATCGCCCAACAGTTTCAGCAAAACAACCCGGCGGCCGAGGTCGAGGGCGCGAGCAGAAGCAAGGCCCAGCTTATTGTTGGCATCGATTTTGTTAGTAACCCCGATTCTCAAATTCTAGAAACCTGTGCTGCTCGGCAGAGCAAGAAGCAGGAGACTGGAGGCAAGAAACAAGGAAGAGAGAGAAAACAGAACATGAAATAAGAGAGAGGCGCAAAAATGTGTTTGCTAACAAGACGTTTCCATAGGGTACAACCTTCTCTGGTGTTGCATTTGCCTTTGCAACCAACAACGAGGCCAAGGAAGACATCATTACAGAATGGCCGGGCGCCGGTTCATACACCAAGCAAAAGGTGAGGAGTGCTGCACCCTCATTGACTTTACGAGAGGATTGAAACTGACGCACAAGCAGATTCCCACCGTGCTCTACTACGATCAGTACCAAAAGGTGGTTGGCTGGGGTCCAGATATCGCCGACGCTCTGGCTCCCACTGGTTACCCCAAGCCTGGAGTGCAAAAGGTTGAGTGGTTCAAGCTGCAGCTGATGCTCAGCGGCAACACATACATTGACCCCATCAACCTGCCTCCTCTGCCTCCGGGAAAGTCCGAAATCGATGTCGCTGCCGACTACCTCTTCAAGCTCCGCCAAGCTATGCGGTCATCGCTGCAAAAGACTCTGGGAGAGGTGTTCAACAGAGAAGAGCGCAACATTCGATACTATCTCACCGTGCCGGCCATCTGGAACGACGCTGGCAAGGCTGCCACCCGAGCTGCGGCCATTCAAGCTGGCTTCCTTCGCGACGAAAACGACAACCGCCTGACTCTCGTTTCTGAACCGGAAGCCGCAGCTCTCTTCTGTTCCAAGACGGGTCTGCTCAATCTCAAGGTTCACGACGCCGTCCTGATTGTTGATTGTGGTGGAGGTACTGTCGATTTGATTGCGTACGAAGTCGAGGATGAGAATCCCTTCACAGTCGCTGAGTGTACCGCTGGATCGGGTGACTCGTGTGGCTCTACCGCTCTGAACCGCAACTTCAGCAACATCCTGCGGACCAAGATTCGAAAGATGAAGCTTCCGGATGGATCCAAGACAGCCGGGCGTGTCTACGCCAAGTGTATCATGGACTTTGAGAACCGAATCAAGGCCGATTTCCGAAACAACGGCCAGAAGTGGGCTGTCGACGTCGGTATCGAGGCTGAGTTCCCCGAGGCCGGCATCGAGGAAGGCTACATGACCTTTACCAATGAAGAAATTCTGCAGTGCTTTGAGCCCGTCGTCAACAGGATCTTGGAACTGGTGCGAAACCAGATCATTGCCATTCAGGCCCAAAACCGGACATTGCAAAACATTCTGGTTGTCGGTGGATTTGGTGCCTCAGAGTACCTGTTCCAGCAGATCAAGCTGCACGTCCCCCCTCAGTTCCAGTCCAAGGTTGTCCGACCCATGGACTCCGTGGCCGCCATTGTAAAGGGCGCGGTCACTGCCGGTATTACGGAGCGTGTCATTACTCACCGTATTGCCCGTCGCCACTACCTCATGGCCACGCTGCAACCGTTCAAGGAGGGCTACCACCCCGAGGCCTACCGAGTGCCGTCTCTTGATGGAAAGGACCGATGCAAGTTCACCAGGCAAATCTTTGTGCACAAGGGCCAGAAGGTCAAGAACGGCGAGCCCTACAAGGTCTCCTTCTTCAGACAGGTCGCTCCGGGAGCCACCCTCATGTACGAAGATGTTTTGTACGCCTGTGACGACGACGTCTGCCCCGAGTATACAAAGGATCCTCGTAAGTTTCCTCCTTTTATCATTTTCATCCTGATCATTTACATCCTGATCACTTTCCCCTCTCGATCATGAGCAAGACTAACACGCTTATCCTCTAGGCATCAAGGAAGTTGTTACTCTCACATCCGATCTGTCTCGCAAGAACCTTGAAAAGGACTTTGAGCGAATGGATACCCCTCAGGGTACCTTTTACAGAGTGTACTTTGACATTTACCTGACTCTGGACGGCTCAGAGTTCAGCGCGGAGCTCGTGTGCCAAGGCGAAGTCATGGGCCGTTGCCGAGCCCGGTTCAGGTAAACAATGAGGGACTAGATGAGGAAGCTTTACCAGTACATACCTCGTTACACGTTTGGAGCTTTGATGAAGACAAGACAGCTAGCAGGCCTTGAAGTCAAAGAGATATACACACATGATACCTACCAGGGGACGCGGCCAAGATGAGGAAGATATACAAGGGCCAGCGCTATCTAGATAGCCGGCCGGGCGCTGAGAGAAAAGCTAAGGGAGACGTGGGCTCTTTGTTTGCTATTTGAGCAGCATATTTTTTTTATTTGATGTTGGATTTGAACATACACAAGCCAAGAGGAGAGCATGATTCGACAGCCACTCTTGCTTGCTGAATGGGGAGGACGATGAATGAAACGAAAGAAGATTATGATTGGCGATGTCATTAATAGAGAGTCGAGTGCGGCTAGATCAAAGAACATGTTAGTCCAAAACGGTGTGCCCTTTCACCTTGTCAACAGTTGCAGCGTTTAGATGCGTTGGACTCTGGTGAAACCTCGTATAGCGTTGAAGTAGAAATGCCACAGAGAAGCCTACAGCAGCACTTGCCTTTTCGCAGAAGCAACATCAACCCTTCTCCTCCATGGTGGAACAATCGAAAGGAAGGAGGCAAGCGATGCCATCTTTTGCTGGCCAATCTCCGCCGGGAAATTCTCTTTCTCTTTCTCTTCTCTTCTTCCTTTCATCATCACTAGTATTAAGTATCAATATCAACTATCCCTTTGCTGTCAAGTTGCTTGGCAGTCATTCATCTTCTGATCCTCCTCTACGTTCCTGGATTCTCTTCTCTTCTTCTTCTTCTCCAATACTCTTTTCTCCTTTCCTGCTTTTCAATAATTTTGTCAACATCGCAGTGTCGAGCCGCGGCGCGTTTATTGTCAGCGTTTTTAACCACCTCACGAACGTCCAGGAACTCCGAGGCCCACGCCGCCGATTTTCGGTGCATTCTCTGCTTCAATCTCTCTCTTCTGTTTGACTACCTCTTGGCACTTGCTTTTCAACGACGGCAAGATTGCAGGCTACAGTGTGCCAGCCATTCATCTCGACAGGCGCGCCTGCTGTGATTCTACTGGAGTTGGCAATTGAGTGGTTCGGAAAGAAGATTCTAGCGTTGTCAACTCTTGCCATCTCTGCCTTCCTGGTCGTCGAGTCTTCATAAACGGAATATTGGGCTTGTTCTTCCGAATATATTGATTCCGCATCTCATCAGATATACGGCTGTAACTTGTTGCACGTATTCTAGGAGATACTGGCGCTTGTATTCGAAGTCAGCTCATCTAAAAAACCATGCCGCATACAACGAATATATGGAGTCGGACTACGGACTATGGACACCCAAGGAATAGACAAACGATCCTGGCGTTGACAAATGCCTTGTTAATATTGCCTATTATCCAGGCAGCAAAAGATTCATCCATGAACCACCACTGGCAAGCGGCGTTCTTTAGCCACGCTTTGGACAAACCACCGATTGCCAAAATACAAGGCCCTCCCGGTGAGCGGGATGAGAGAATCCGCTTGGTAGTGACGAACAAGTGTGACTCGACAATATGGCCTGGCGTTGCAACGCAGTCCGGGACAGGGCCCGGAATCGGAGGATTCGAGCTGGCAGCCAACAAAACAAGGAAGCTATAGGTAGGCCCTGATTGGCAAGGTCGGGTATGGGGCCGGACAAACTGTACTGTCAACGGAGATTCATGCGCCTGCAAGACGGGAGACTGCTTCGCAAAGATGGACTGCGAATTCAGCGTATGTGACGCCCCTCTGAAGCATTGAAGTTGCAAGGTATTCATGAAGACGAGTCCTAACGAGATGTACACGTAGGGAGCCACTCCCGCAACACTGGCAGAGTTCAACCTGGCCGGTGGAGTTGACAACTTGCAAACGTTTTACGACATCTCTCTCGTCGACGGATACAACATACCCATGGGGATCAATTATATCCCTGCCAAGAACACCACCTTTATTCCGCCGAACCTCACAAACTGTGCTTGCATTGCCACCACAGGCTGGGTGTACTCGCCAGCAGGCAATGGCACCTTCTACTCCAACGTGACATATCCGATCCCCCTAGAGTCGGAGGAGACGAACGAGAGTGTCAGCGCATAGTGTCCGTGGCTGAACCTTGCCTTTCCTCCAACTCATCCTGGCAACGGCATCTACCCCTATCCTGACGACAACGTTGAGCGGCCTGCCTTTGCCCCATGCAACAGCGCCTGCGCGGCCACTGGAACGGACAAGGACTGCTGCATCGGCAAGTATCATGACCCCAACATCTGCAAGCCGTCGCAGTACAGCAAGTCAGTCAAGGCGGTATGTCCGGACGCATATAGCTTTGCCTATGATGATCAGCAATCAACCTTTATCATCCCCAAGGGCGGCGGATGGGAAGTCGTCATGTGTCCCGAAGGCCGATCGACTGATATTCTCCGCAAGCTGGGCTCGGAAATGTTTGAGTTGGCAAGTGGTGGGAAATTGTCGTCACACACTCTCAAGAGGCTCCGAAATGCAACCTATGTCATGGAGGAGCGTGGGTCTGCGGGCACCGTGAGACCATGGACACTCATGCTGATGGCCTGTATCGCAGTTGCTTGTAGCTGGGCAATCTTCTAAGAGTGCCAACAACAGCGATGATGGGGACAGGAGTGGCTGATATGGGACACTTTTTGTATGTTCCTCCCACCCCAGAGACGAGCATTTCTCTCCCTATAATACCTATAAAAAATCATGGCTACTACCTACTTCAAACCCCTTATAACCAAGTCACAATGGATGGATAGCTGTAGTTGTCTATCTTGAAGTGTGCGGTTTGTTTGTTTCTTTCCTTGTTATGATGGCGTGTGTAAGAGTGCGAATCCTGTCACTCTTACGTGCGTATCTCTTCGTCTCATTGTGACAACATGTATTCCAACATGACTTCTTCCTCCTTTGTAATAAATGACAACGGTAAAGCCTCCAACGCCTGCGTCGAATCAATCAAGTTGCTCGGCTTGTATATCTCTACCATCTCCTTCCCAGACCCCATGGGCCCGCCATTGATGCGTGCTATTTCCCCCCTTGTCGCTCAGGGCTGGGCTTTCACCAATTGTTTCGTTCTTCATTGTCTCGCCCGTTAACCTACCGCTTGCCCTTGTTCTTTCTCCTGCGCTCCCACTCGGCCCTCTCCTCCTCGTCACTGCCGCTGAACTCGGCGTCGTCATTATCGTCGTCGCTCTCGGGGGCGTTATTGGTCACGGGATGGGCGGCGTCGACGGGCCTGCCCGGCGGAGGGGCGCTGGGGGGCGCGCTGACGTTGACGAAGTCGCCGGCGTTTTGGTTGGCGTACTCGTGGCGCTGGATGAGGTCGCGCAGCTCCTGGTTGCGGGGGTCGACGAGCTGGAGGGCGGTGAGGCCGCCCTTGTTCTTGATGCGCGGGTTGGAGCCGGCCTCGAGCATCATGTCGATGAGGTGGTGGCCAAAGGGGCGCTGGGCGGCGGGTTCGGCGTTGAGCCAGCGGACGGCGGAGTGTAGCGGGGTGTCGCCCTCGAGGCGGTTGATGGGGTCGCATTCGAAGTCGGGCTGGTCGAGGAGGTGGTCGATGATGTCGTCTGTTGTGAATGAAAGCGAAGTTTTGTTGTTTAGCTACTTGTGTTGCACCCCCTGGGGAGAGAGGGGAGGAAAGGGGGGGGGGGGGGGGGGGGGGGGGGGGG